CTTACCGTTCCAAGTTGTCTCAGACATACTCGTTTCGTTCGGAGACAAATTTGGGGATCGAGCTGGGTGGTAATGTGACGAAGGTGTATCTGTGACACCATTGATGTGTATGGGCGAGCATTGTGAAGTAGAAAAATAGTTCCTGTGTGGCCTGACATATGTGATTACAAATGTGGTGGAAAGTGGAAAGATGTCTCGAACGAACCGCTGGGCTGTCTTGGCACCTTGGATCAATATTAGGAGTGATCGTTTGTCGTACTCGATGGCAACTATACCATCACACCCGGTGTGGAAGTGTTGTGCTGCACAGCGTAGGCAGGATCGAGGCTTTCACCAAGGGGCCTCTTACTCGTACACGATGATCATAATTGCATAAATTAAATCTGCATTCATCATTGAAGATGACCTGGTTCTGTTCGGTTACTGTCTAATCCTGTCGACACCACTCCAAAGAGAGTCTACGTGGGTGGTTGTCAATCCTGCCTATGCTGCACAGCAAGAACATCGTTAATATTGCTGGTGTGATGTTGTGAAATGCCATCTCATACGTCACATGATCACCTCTAATATCCATGATGACATGACGCCCAGTGGTACGTTCGTGACATCCTTCAACCATATGCCTTGTCACTGAAAGCAGGACTCCCAAGAGCCATTTTTCAAAACAAAAAAAAAACAGTACTCGGTCACACATAGCAATGGTGTCACAGAAATAGCTCTACCAAATTATTACCCTACTCCAGACTGCGTGATCACCAGATTCGTCACCGAACGAGCATATCTGGGACAATTTGGGATAGCAAGTTGGACAACCTTCGAGTTTATTCAATTTAGAGGAACTTTTATAGCAACTGTGGAAGGTGATGCCACCGGACATCATAATCGCATCCTGCATTCGCGCTACAGGCTTTCCAAGAGGGTACTAAAACCTTCATTCGTTTGTATTTTTTTTCTTGCAATAAATGACATCCTTGTTCCTAACTATAAAATTNATTATTACCCTACTCCAGACTGCGTGATCACCAGATTCGTCACCGAACGAGCATATCTGGGACAATTTGGGATAGCAAGTTGGACAACCTTCGAGTTTATTCAATTTAGAGGAACTTTTATAGCAACTGTGGAAGGTGATGCCACCGGACATCACAATCGCATCCTGCATTCGCGCTAGAGGCTTTCCAAGAGGGCACTAAAACCTTCATTCGTTTTTATTTTTTTTCTTGCATTAAATGACATCCTTGTTCCTAACTATAAAATTGCGTAATTTCGTTAAAGCCTTTTTTTTGTTGTTGTTGTTGTTTTAAGTATATCGTGCACTGTTGAATATTGAACAAACTGAGAAAAGTCAACTCGAATATGATTTTAATAATTTCTCTCAAATGATAATTATTGTTAATCTAAAATGAGAGAAATTAACTAGAGAAGGATTTAAATGATTTCACCCAAATGATGCTGATTGTCAATCTAAAATGATAAAACTAAAGTTTCAGTTAGAATAATGACATCAAACTTTAGTTATTTCAGTTGATACATTCACTTAACTTGCGATGAAAAGTCTCATTTTATCTAAGCAAATGAAATAAAATTAACTCAAATTTAATTATTTTCATTCGTAAGAGATAAATTTAAAATAAAATTGCTTTTTTTACTGTCACATTATCAGGTATGCAACTTGGACTGCCGTATCTTCCATAAGCTTACCCTTCTCGGAGTTTTATTTATGGGGCAAATATTTTGAATAGGAAAAACGAGAGAATACAATTGAATACAACCGAATCTTTAATTCCAACCTTTTAAGTTCAGATTTTATCTTTAAAAATTTCTCATACGAAAACATTTGAATTTTGTTTTGATTATAAAGAAACTATATATTGTATTATTATTACCAAAAATTATAACGAAACAATTATCTATTTTTTACTTCTCTATTAAAACTAAACAATATCTACCGATGGTTATACTTAGGCTAACTATTTTATTATCAAGTAAATTATATACAAGTGAAAACAAGTCGAATTTAACTTGTGTTTCTAAAATAATGACTTTTTGAAAAGTCTCTCACGGGTCTTAGAAAACCTTGATCAGTGATTTATTATTTAGCGAAGATCTATTAAACGTTGCATCTAAGAATGGGAAATTCTATTAACATTCTAAGGCAGTGGGACTATTAAGTTTTGCGAATTCCATAATGAATCACTGGGAATATTGCAGTAAAAACAACAACAAAAAACGAATATTGCAAGGAAAAGGGACAAAAAAGATATGAAAATCAATTATTTTTTATTTGTTTGGATCTATCATTAACTTTAAATGATTCAGTAATAATTTTTGCAACGTAATTAAAGTTAAAATAGCATGTTCTTTTTTTTTTCAAAGTCCTGAGTAACGAAGGTAATATAGATTTGACAAACTTTTTAATTAATATACTTAGTATAATTATTATTTTTACCAAAATTCAACAATCCTCAATATAAATTTTTATTACACATAAAATTGCAGCGGAACCATAGTAATTTAGAAAACATGCTCATATAGATTTTTAAGAAAAATATTGCTGTTAATATTTTTCTCGCAATCGGAATTAAATTAGCTATTAATATTTCTAAAAATGTTTCAAATGCTTAGAATTTTTACGATCTCATAATAGCGCAGAATTGTTTAACATTAAAAGAAACTTGTTGACTTACTTGTTGAATTAACATTAAAAAAAGCAGTTAATGGTAAAATTTAAAGGGATTTTTTTTTATTCCCACATGTAAGGTTCATAATTTATTTGACTTAATTTAGATAAATTTCTGCAGATTAATCCTGCAGAATTGTATAAAAACATGTACAATTCTTCTATAATACATCNTATCTATATATATAGTATATATATATACTATATATACAGAATGGTTCCTAAGGAATTGACATCGACCCAGTATCAGTTTTTGTAACAGAATTTCAGGAAAAAAAATCCCTTTTGACGCATTTATTCGAGCATATTTTCACAATGCACTCGAAGCACAACAAAAAGTTTTGTAAAGGTTATTTCGACAAAACAATCCTTTTACGTCCATGTATAAAATCTATGTACAACTTTCAGGAAAAATAATGAATTCAGTCGCCAGAAACGAGAAAATATAGGAAAAAATAAAGCATACAAATAAAAATCTCTGAACGCAAAATTGACAACACAATTAGTTGATAAAATATAAATTTTCTCAAAAATTTAATGATTTTCTGTAAAAAAAAAAATCATTGAATAGTGTGCAATAATTCTATCTATAATATTTTAAGAATCCTTTTTTACAACGTCTGCAGTGTCTAGGAACAATATTTGAACCTTGAATGACCAATTATGGTAGTTTTTTAAAAATAAGTTCTCTTTGAAAGAAAGTAACATCAATCATGAAAGTTTATAATTAAAATGTCTTGTCTCGCAGGTCTGTTTTATTACTCTATTTTTAGTTGTTAAAATCTATTTTGAGTCTCCTAAATATCCAGTTAACTGAAAAGTGAAAAGAACATTATGTAACGAAACTGTTGCTACAGATCACTGTAATTCTTCATTCATTATTACTAGTGTTTAACAGTCAATTTCTGATAATAAGAATGTGAAGAAGAAAAATATAATATCGAAGTGGAAACCTCACATAGTAAATTTTAATATATCTTTATAATTATTTAACAAAAAAATATTTATTGACACTATATTTTTAAAATAATTTATTTATAACAAGAAGATATCTATTCATAACAAAGTTAAATTCATCTTTGATCTGTTAATTTTTATTCTTATTTGGGTAGATTATCTCAAATAAGGAATAAAACCTTACTGGTAATTCCTCCTTTAAAACGGTTCTCATTTACCTTTGTTCTGATTTTTTTTTAAAGTGAGACTTCCTTTTGCAAACTTAAGGAAAATTTTTGTAAAGAAATTAATTTAAGACTTTTTTTATTTTAATTGAATAATGCGCAAATATTAACCAGTAATTTCAATAAAAATGAATCTTGATTAATTCAAAGAGAAAAAAATAATTTACCTAAAGGCAGTTGAAAGATAGTTAAAATCTTTAATGAGCATGGGGCATATAAAGCTGAATTTAGAATAAAATTTGCCAAAAAAAAACTTTTGTTTATATGAAAATTCCAAAAATATGCAATATTGCATAAAGTCCTTCTAAAAAATTTTTTTTCTTGGGAATGAGTCATTTATTGATAAATTATTTTTAACGTTCAATGATGTAATTATAAGTATTAATATTTTTGGCAACAAGAAAATTAAAATAGCATTTTGGTAACAGGTCTGTTAAACCAAACGATGAAAAATAACCTAATTTAGTTATTCATTAATAGATGTTAATTGATTAAAATTAATCGGGTTCATTTTTACTCATTTACTTATACAGTATGAGCCTTTTCAACTTAAACTAAATTAACTCGAGTGAAAAAATCAACTGAAATAGTTCAAGTCATCATTTTAGCTTACACTTGAGTTCATTTCAATAATTTTAGATTTACAATCAAATTATTTTATTAGTATCATATTCGGGTAGCATTTAGTAGTATGCTTGTTGGGTGCTGAAAGAATAGTAAAACCATTTAATTTGTTGTATTATCTATTAGGATCTTTTATAAACAACGTGAAAGAAAAATTGTAAAGCTCCTTCCCGGTTAATATAAGTTTTCACTTAACAAAATCCTTACTGATAATCAGACATTAAGTAGTAACACAAATAGAAATACATATTATTTTTTGTCATAACTATTATTATTATTATTATATATTAATCTAAAAAAAAAAACTTTTTTTCTCAATGTCGATCTATAACAAATGCTGTCAAAGATAAAAATTGTTCTTTAAATTTAGTAGAAACAACAAACTATTGCTGTATTTTTATATTTTATAACATTAAGAGAACAACTTTACTATTCCAACTCTTCTTTTTAAAGCATGGTTTGATAAAAAATTTTACATATTCCTAAAGATAAAAATTATTGCTTTTAAATCTTACCTGTATGAGTGAAATCCTCTTTTTTTTCTTCAACAAATGGTTTCTCTGGATGCATTTTGTCTTTATCAGGACTAGATTTCTTAATCATAAATTGTCTAGGCATGCTTATGTCTTTTTTGTATTGAGACAAAACTAGTTTTCGTGAACATAAATATTTCTCCCATACATAAACAGTTCATATTTGATCCACATTATGCTACAATTTACAACGTAAACCATATGAGTACTTTTTCAAGAAACCAACTTCCTATTTAGATTTTATAATCATGATATTCATAGAACCACCGTCAACTTATATATTGCCAACTTTTGTTTTTAAAGAATACTGATAAAACGATGACAGCTGTCAAAAACGTCTGAAAATGTAAAATCGTTTGCAAGTAAATATTTCAAAACTATAAATTTTCAGAACGTATAATTTCAATGTTTAAAAAAGAATCGTTAAGGCTCTACAACCACGTGTGTTAGGAGAACGGTAGAAGCGCTGGAATCACCATCTCGTTCGACTGATGAACTGTGAATGACGGGGGAAAGTTGAGAGGCAGCCACGGGATGGGGGGAGTCAATCCACCGAACACCAATCGCCGCACTGCCTCGATAATGTCCAATGGTGTGGTTTCAATCCAAAGGGCTAATATGGAATTTAATGAATAAAACGAAGCTTACTAAATAAACTGTACCCTCCAATAGGGTGTAACTTGAAAGTTGAAAAAAAAGTTGCCACTGCAATTTACCTAAAATACTTTTTGATCAAACTAAAAATATTTAGGTCTCCCAGAAAGAGCTTAATATTACATTTTTTGGGTCAAAAAAGAAAATGTTAATTAAAATAATAATAATAATAATACCTAAGTTCAAAAATGTAATTTTCATAAACGAGTTTGCATATTTTCACTTTTAAATCCAACCTTGAGGTTAGGTTTATTCCGGATTAGGTGAAGCTTATTTTTTATAAAGTTCTCAGGTTTCCCAAGTGCTAAATTTTGATTTTAATTGTTTCATCATTACTACATTCTAAAGTTAAGAAAACATTTCGAAATTAGTCTATTAATACTTCAAAAAAATTAGAAATAATTATCGTATCAAAAAATTAAGGTAAAAATGGGTAATTTCGACGAAAATAAATTGTCTATATTTGAATTTGTTCATTAGTTTTCTAAATCTCTTTGAATTCATAATGAGTGCTACGATTTTTAATTATTTTATTCATATAAAACAAATTGTTTTAGTATTTAATTGGTATGAATATATTGTTTTAGTACTTTAAATTCATTTTCAGATGAGCATTGATTTTGATTTGATCCATTTACTCCAGTACACATTACTAAAAAAGTTCATTTGTATAATGTTAGCTACGCTGGGAGATAAAAACTATGGTCTTAGTGCAAATTTATAATTTCTTTCATAAAGAGTGAAAAAAATATATTTAGAATTATTGTTTTAAAAAATCAATTTATAACAATATGTTTAGTTTTATTCATTGTACATTAAAAAAATTTTGAAGATTTCAGTTCAAAAGTAATCATACTATTAATCGTGAATAAAAAATTATTTCAATGCATTAGAATTTGTTTTAGAGATGCTAGCTTGACAAAAAAAAATTTTACGTAGTTTTATGCTAAAATTTATCCATATTTCTTTTTTTTAAAAAAAAAAGCTTTTTGCGTTTTAAAGTTTACTTTAAAAAAGATTTTGTGAAAAGTTTTTCGTGTTCACTGACTCATTTTGTTAGGTTTATAGCACTCTATTGCTTAAAATATTTTTTAGTAGTTAAATAACTTCTTTTTCATAATTTCCCAATAATTTTCTGTAGGTCCAGATTTCCACTTTTCAAAACTTTTAATTGTCTACAGATTATCTGTAAATTAGATTTTATAGTGATAATTAATCCTTAACAAGTAAGTTTTAAAAGAATGAACTCTGCAAAAGTTAGGTTTCAAATTTTCTTCACAGCTCATTTTCTGTGAAAGACTGGCTCATTTTCCGTGAATTCTTTCATATTATCTACAAAAAGTAAAGTAAGTAATCAACACAAGTTGGTGGAAGTAACAGTTTAAAATAAAAATCTTCAAAGTAACAAACAACTGTTAATCTGTCGCTATTTTGAGGCAAGCTGTTCGACAGATAAACTGGAGCAGGCACAAGAAAAATGAGAGATATTTTATTAGTTTACATCGCAACATCCCTCGTACAATAGTTATGGCAATTTCTTATTTATCCTTTAATGAACTACTTGTGTACATCAAGGAGATTTTTATTTTTTGAATTAAAAGAGATTTTTCATCTTTCTGAAATTTCAGTCAGTATTATATTACATTATATTATATTATATTATATTATATTATATTATATTATATTATACTATATTATATTATATTATATTA